ATGAATTATCTTCCTCGTGTACTTCAATGGCTTCGCCTCGGGGCACACTTACAAAGTAATAATAGAAAGCAGCAGAGGAAGGAGCTGGAACAGTACAAGAAAACGTGTGACACATTCCAGCGGTGACGAAGTGTGGAGGGAAGGTGAGAACTGTTTGCCGGTCTCTTAACAATTGAAACTCAGGAAAGAAGCCGAAAAGCTAGTGCTTGCTGCACACAGCCACACTGCAAGTTGGATGGTAAAAATAGTAAAAAGCTAATATTCTGACTGAGTGCAGAGATTCAGGTATGTCCAATTCTCCCATCCTTTTCTCCTTAAGCAGGTGTACATTTCGGTATCACATTTTAGGCACGGGTTTAAACCAGGCTGAACCAGGAAGGAGTTAGGTAGCACGTTGGCCATAATCACCCTCTTAACTTCTTCCCTTCAAGGCTTAAGTTTTCCGCAGTTTACTGGCATTTCAGTTAAAAAACGGAATGGATCTAGAACTTTGGCTCCTTTTTCTTACTGTATAATTTTAACAAATAGGTTTGTATTCTTTCACATTGAAATAGAAGTTGTAAGTTTTAGCTCCTAAGATCCTATTGTATTTTGTTAAAAGTTAAATGGTACCTGAGCATGCTATTGCCTTTGTATTATTAGTGAATATGGGTTTAGAAATGAACTTGGCATCTCTTACCCTTTTAATGAAAAGTTCCTGGAATGACCTTTCTACTTTAAGATCTGGTTAGCTCTTTGGCTAGTTTTTCCAGTGTGGAATTTTTGCGAGAAGGCTTAGTGACTTCACAAACTCTTAATTTAAACTGCCATTTCCCACAGAGCGATTTGAAATTAGTTTCTGTTAATTTTTTCCCTGACTTGATTCAACTCAGTTTATCAATCTTGTTTGTTGCTCACTTTCTCTCCGGGAAAGAGGATGGAGGGGGCAGGGATGTTCACAACCTGTATTTGGTAGTAACTAGGGTGTGTTAAATCTAACCCTGTAGTTCTGTGCAGGAAGGTCTCCTCTGGAATGACTTAGTGATGTCACGCCGTGGCTGAGACAAGTAGGCGTGATTGTGTACTTTGTGGCAGATTTGTTGTTTCACAATACCCTAAGCCATATCTTGCTTTCTTGGAATAATAGCCAGTGATTGGGTTGTCTGGTTTGGTCAATTAGAAAGATTGCATGAACTGAAGCCTCAAAGTGTGTCAGAGTAACCAGCCTCTGACAGTTGTGGGGGTCTGTAGGCACAATTGTGTGGCGATGATACATAAAGACCATAGTAACGTCAGAGAGAACAGGCGAGCAGGAGAGAAGATAAAATGAAGGACTCACACATTTCATGGTAGCTTGTTCACCTCCGGACGGACGGCCATGGTCTCACAGCCTTTTTATTTTCACTCCCCAAGAGGAGCTTGCTTTTTGAAGCTCTTCCACACACCCTTGATCCCGCCCCTGCCCCAGACTCCATCATGGCTACTTTTTGTGGCTTCTAATGCAGATAGCAGTTTTCATCATCATATTTGGGAGAATCTGACTGTACCGTCTTGGGGTGTAATGCAGTGTACCCCCCCCGCCCACCTCACGCTTTGAAAGATTATATTTTTTAATTGAGGTGAAATTGACATAACAAAATAAGCCACTTTAAGGCAAACTGTTGAGTGGCACTTAGTTCGTTCATGGTGTTGGACGACCATCGCCATTTGTTTTTTTTGTTTTTTTGCTGTACAGAGAAAGCTTTATAACAAAAATGGCTCACACAGTTTGAGAAATCGCCAAGTCCTGTCCAGTTCAAGCCAGGCTTCTCCTGGCTCGGGGAAGTCGGTGAACAGAAAGCAGGCTGGTGGATGCAGAGGTCCGAAGTAGATTGAATAAATCCATTGTCTGGAGCCTGCTGAGGGGGCCTTAAATTGGCAGGTGACTTCATAGATCAAGGAACCAGGTGCGAGATCCAGCTCCGGCAGAGGATCAAAGAGAATTCACCCTGCTTCTCCTCTTATACCACAAGGCTCTTGATACCAACAGGGTGTCATCAGGCTGAGACACAATTGACAGCTTGAGCTCCGCCCATACCCTTACCCGAGTGTCTAGTTGTCATCATCCTTAGCCAGCATAGACCACCCCTTGGCAACAGGACATCTGTGCATTACTCATTAACCATCACAATCGCCAAAGACAATAAATTAAATCAGAGGTGCTCCTAATGTGCTACAACTAACACGCACACAACCGCACAGATGCGCTAACCCCGTTTTCATCTGACCGCCTCCCTTTGGAACGAGGGTCTCCAGACCTGAAGAGGAGAAGGTGGCAGGGACAGGAAAACAGTCTGCTTGGATTCACTGTCGGTCTCTGCTGCTGGCAGGCCGGGCACTCAGCAGTGGCAATAGTCAAGGCAGCCTTGGTGGGCGGAAGTCCACGTTGCCGAGCCCACGCACCGTGTCCACTGTGTTCAGGCCCCTACCGGGCAAGGACAGGAGTGGCTGTGCAGAGGACTGGTTTCCATGAAACGCATCGTCCCATCCACGTGGCTGTCAAAATCCTCCTCTGCAGAGGTGATCCTTTGGGGCACATAGCCTTCACTTTCTTTGGCCCATTCAAAGAGATCTATCCACATGCTTCTTCCCCACACCTCCTCGTCACCAAATTTCCTTCCAAGTCCCTGACCATCCAGCGAAACCATGGGCCAGAGCCCACAAATCGCTACAATCACACATTTGGCCAGTCTGCCTTCCAGGGAAATCCAACTTGGTGCACTGCTAGAAGTTCTGCCCATTGGGAGCATCTGCCTTCGCCATGGTTCCTCAGGGGGCCCCAGAAAAAGGCTCCAGTGCTGCTGGTGGGCACTTCCGAGTGGTACTTGCATGGAGTGCAGAGCCATCGGTACACCAAGCACCAGGAACTCCTCCCTTCCCGTCATGGAAGCCACAGGTGCGGGCTGGGAGAAGGAGGTACTGTAACCAGAGTGGAGTGGGGACTGTAGGCATTTGGGCCACTTCTTCATTTGGCCTGCCTGTGCCTTCAGGCCCTGCTCTAGCCCAAGCTCATGCATATCACGGCTTCCACTGAGAGGAAATACTGCTGTGGCCAAGTCGGATGAGCCGCAGGGTCAGACAATACCCAGTCGTGATGGGCACGGTGACTTGGTGGTCCATGTAAGGTGTTCAGTCTCCACTAAGGCCAGACGCTGGTTTTCAAAGGTGGAGGAGTGGTCTGCAGGATGATTCGCCTGCACTGATTCGCCAGGAGGCCCAGTTGGAACAGCTGGATCCTAAGGCCCACATGGCAGAGGGGCTTGCACAGCAGCCTCGGGCAGCTTGTTGACGCGTTTGCTATGCAGGCTGGAGGAGCACTCTGCCGAGTCTCTCCCTTATACCACAGGCTTACGGAACCACGGGGGTGTCATCAGGCTTCAGACACTGATCGGTTGGGCTGTGTGACTTCCCCTATCCAGGAGGCTAGTTGACCTAAGCCCTAACATCTCGGCCACTTCACCAACCTGAATACACGCCTGCTTGCCACGGGTGGGCCAGCCACTCCCGGCATCTCCTGCTTGCCTGGCCCAGAGGGAGGGTGGGCGGGGCTCAGGCGAAAAGATCGAGAGTCTGATGAGATCCGAAACTGCAGGGACCCTTCCCACCTCTCCCTCTTCCACCATTCTTTTTCCTCTGGACCCAGTTCAGCCGGTGCTTGGTCTGTGGGGAAGGAGTCGGTCTTGGACCACACAACTCGGCCTGCTTTCTGACCAAGGTACCATACTTGCCTCTTGGGCTGCCTCTGGCCACTGGGGCGCTCTAGCTCCGCCAGAGTGGGCAGGGCCTCCAGCAGTGGGCGCAGATCTCCCACCACTTCCGTGGACCTCTGTCGCTGTTCCTCTAAGCGCTTCTTCTCGGCCTGCTTGATATTCTTGTGCAGCCAATTCTCCCGTCTCAGCTTCATTCTTTCCTTCTTGTTCAAAGGTGCCTTCTTCTCTTCATCTCTCTGGTGAGCACTGAGGTTCCGTGTAGTCACGTCCAGCTGCTGTGCCAAGGTGCTGAGGTCTATCTTGGCACCTGCAAAGAGCTTGGTGCCGAAGGCCACCCAATCCTTCCCCGCGGCCCCGACGCGCGGGGGCTCGGCCGAGGGCTGCTCGCGGAGCGCAGGCGTTGGGCCGGGGGCGGCCTCCTCGGTGAACCTCACGGCCGCCGAGTCGACCATCGCCATTTGTACAGACTGTTTTCTTACTTCCTGGGAATTTCTTTTGGCTTAAGGCAGGAAGTGACATGGTACAAGGTTTCTCTGCCAACATGGTTAAGAACTGTTTCATTACACTTGTTTATAAGTGTGAGCTAAGAGAGTGGTCTGTTTCTCCCTTCTCTTAAGGACAGGGGTTTTTGTGAATGTTATATGGGGGGTCTAGGGATGCTAAAGAGCCTGGTGGCATGACAATTAAGCATAATTGGCCACTAACCAACTGGTTCGTGGTTTCAGCCCACCCAAGAGAGAGCTGTTGTAAAGATTGGAGCAAGAAAACCCTGTGGGCCAGAAGTTCTTCCCTGTTAGCCGAGGTGGCTGTGAGTTGGAATTGGCACCTAACCACTAGGGGCATTTGTTCTTCCTTGGATACGTTATTCTCTAGTCCAGAACACTCAGTGGTCACATTGAACCGGGAAGAGACATACTCCTTTCTAATAAAATACTTAGGAGAGGTTATAATATGTATGCGCTACTAATAAAGCTTCACTGAGACGAGGCCAGTTATATATTGAATGGATGGTGGTG